AATTCCATGACGCCAAACTAAAATTTTTGAGACAGTTTCGCGTGCAATTTGGAAATTCGCGAGCTCTAGAGGTAACGCATGTCAAGTGCAATTTTGCGTCGACGAATTTAGCGAAATGCGTCGACGAAAGTTTCAAATAAGCCACATGTGCATTTTGTTGAATTGCACCACCAAAAATTGCGACTTAGTCAGACGTATTTGAATTGCACGTTTCAAATAAACCCCCCCAGTTACTATGCAATTATCTGATAATTTGCACTAGTGCAAATTATCGCGTAATCCCAATCTGATTGGTTCAAATCAACAATCAAAACATGTCAATTTATTGTTGGAATAGGTACCAGTTTTGACAGATGTATGAAATTCTCAAAATTGTAATCATGATTGTAATAAGCAAATTTGTCATAGGTACAGATAGGTATGAAAATAAAACAAAATTTTCAAGTTCTACTCACATAAACTATATGGATAATAACATTTACAATAACATTTCCAGTGATAAGGTTCTCACCAAAATGCAAAAAAAATCACAAAACAAACCAAGCAGCACTCTTTCACCCGGCGTCCCCTCAGAACATGAAGAACATGCACAATACGGACCAAATATGGCCACCTGAACTGTTGGATTAAATTTGGATTAGACGCAACAAGTCACGTGCTCATTGCACTTATATATTGTATACCTTATTATGTTATAATATAATGACAACATTTAAAATGTTTGTTGTTAGTAACAAATCATGTTTTATAAAACTTATTTATATTGTCGTTAAATAACATAAATATAATATTTCAACAAACTCTCAATGTAACGATTATAGAATAAGAATACTAACATATATGATATTTGTAACATAAATATTTTACATTTCTTGTTACCTGTGGGTTATATAAATAACTATAATACAAAAATTTCGGTGTCCCAGCCGAGAGTGACCCATTTTAAATGCTTATAACTTTTAAACCAGGTGAGCTAGCTACCTGCGGTTTGTGCTATTCGATTTCTCTTGGTCTAAAGTTTTTTCTAGTAGGTTTCAAATTTTTTTAAAACTTATACAGGGCGAGTAAAAAAAAATCCGTTTTTCAACACCGAAATTCTCCACTATTTTCAATGGAGCGTCCTGTATATCGCAACGTCAAAAAATAAATTCATGTTTAGGGTATCCATGTACCAATAGACATCGTCCCCAAAACTTGAAGTTTTAGCCGTAAAAAATCAAATTCGAAATCTTGGTATTTTTGCAAACATCTATTTTCAAAGCTTCAACCTTATGTTTGCCTAATAAAAAGTTAATAACAACTGCATAAAACTATACAAAAAGCTGTAGGTACCTATATGTATATGTTAGCTATTCTGTTCCAGGCATTTGTGGATCAATAAATGGTTGAATGAATTGTGTAACATTTCCTGGAGAATCGCTTCAATGGCATTACAAATGTTCCACTTAAGATCTTTCAGGCTATTTTAGCAAAGTATTGCCGCATCTTTCCTTGACATAACGCCAGAGAAAAGAGTCTAGAACTCTCAAGTCAAGAGAGTAAGGTGTCCATTCTATAGGCCAGCGGCCAGCTCTCCTTATCCATCTTTCCCCAAATGTCATATCTAGTGATTCCCTTGCTATTAATGAATAATGAGGTGGGGGCATCATCCTGCTGAAAATATATATCATTCAAGATAACCTCCTGTCTCAACTATGGGAAAAAGAACATATCAGTGTATACAGTTTCTGTTATTGTTGGTTCATCAATGAAAATGGTCTGTATTTTTTCTCAATAGATATTGCACACCAAACTGTTACTGTTGGGGTATCTCTATTTAATGAGTTCCAGAGAAAATACTTTGGAACTCGTTAAATCTTGGAAAATGTATCTCAACTTAATTGATATCTAACTAGACAGTTACAAAATTGTTTGCCATAGTGATATCAAGTTCCTACAACATGACGTTGCATGCGTTTGCAAAAATACCAAGATTTCAAAAAACTTCCAGTTTTAGGGACAATGTCTATTGGTACATGGAAACCTTAAACATTAATCTTTTTTTTGACGTTGTGATATACAGGGTGTTCCATTAGAAATAGTGGAGAATTTCGATGTTGAAAAACGGATTTTTTTTTACTCGCCCTGTATAAGTTTCAAAAAAACTTGAAACCTACTGGAAAAAACTTTAGACCAAGAGAAATCGAATGGCACACACCGCAGGTAGCTAGCTCACCTGGTTTGAAAGTTATAAGCATTTAAAATGGGTCACTCTCGGCTGGGACACCCTGTATTATAAGTTTGTTTAATGTTACAAACTTTTGTTATACAACTTCGTTATATAATGTGAAAGTAACTTACTAACTAGCTAATTGTTGTGCACCTTCTTAGAATAGTGATAATTGCAAATAAGTGACATACAGTGTGTCCCACTTAAGGACTGACCACCCTTCTAAAAATTTTTTTTTTCAACCGATTCAATTTATTCTTTTTTTGTCTTATGTCTACTCGAATTTGGCACTTATTTGGCTCATAGTTTTATTCCTGCGGCTCTACTAGTGTACAGGGTGTCCACATTTATAGGCTCAAATTTCAATAAATACTATTAGGGATTTTTCTAGAAAAAATCTGATAGCAGATTCTTGTTTAGAATGGTCTAAAACCCCAGTGTACTATTTTTTGTTCCGATTTGATACAGGGTGATCACAAAAAAAATTCAAAATTTAATGGACCAAACCGGAAAAATGTCACATTTTCAGGCCTTGAGAACAACAAAACTTGATACAACATAATTGTAGAACATCCTTAACCAAAATTTGTAGTAAGCTTGTCTCAAAATATAACATTTTTGCAGCTTGATTCATTAAATTGTGAAAATTTATTGTCATCACCCTGTATAGTATTGAAACAAAAATTAGTACATTTGGGTTTTAGACCATTCTAAACAAGAATCTGCTATCAGATTTTTTCTAAAAAAATCCCTAATAGTACTTATTGAAATTTGAGCCTATAAATGTGGACACCCTGTACACCAGTACAGCCGCAGAAATAAAATTATGAGCCAAATAAGGGCCAAATTCGAGTAGATATAAGACAAAAAAGAAATTAATTGAATCGGTTGAAAAATAAAAATTTTAGAAGGGTGGTCAGTCCTTAAGCGGGACACACTGTATAAATATGTTATATTACTTGTTACTCCTAGGTTATATAACGTCAATAATTAATGTTTACTGACGCTCCTCGAAAGACCCCAAGTGATAGAGGCCATGAACAACCATAACTTCTAAAAAATTTAAATAGTACTTACCACGAGGGGTTCGAAATTCAAACTCAAATAAAACGGTAATCATAAGACTTTCGATATAAAATTTTACGGTAGTTAACGGAAATTTGCCTTACGCAACTTTGTTTTCAAACTAGTGGCTGATGGCCGGTAAGGTACTTTTTCCACGAAAACGGTAATCACATTTGACTCAGGAAGATGGCTGCCACCAGGCCAGGATCGACCTTTCAGGGCGAACGGCAAAATTTGAAAAAGACGAAGAATAGGACAAGCTGAACAATAAGAGGTTCCCTTCGAAAAATAGCCAACGGAAAGTGTTCAAATTCAAAGGAAAAGGGTGCCCTCTAGGTTAATAATTGCTATTATTATTGGCGGCAGAAACCTTCTGTTAATAATGCCAGTCACCAGACTGTCAGCATCCAAGGCGACAATTTAATTTATGAAATAATACGTAGAAAAACAAGACAGTAACATTTAGTATGTTACAGTGCATCCTTGATTGACTCATAAGAGCTGTTATTAAATGTCCCCACTATTTATTGAATAACTGATTCCTTCAATCTTCAATTTTGTCTATTATAATGGTAAAGGTTTTCTGAAGATACCATCAGCTTGTGTCAACTTGGCAAACATCGAACCTCATTTGTGGAGTTTTTCGCACGATCGCCGTTGCCAAAGGGACCTAGGCGGTTGACATGAAGATTACGTCTCGCTATTGGCGCTCCTGTAATTTTATCCTTCCATCTTGAAATATCGACCTTTCGAGTTTCGTGTATGAGTTGCAAAGTGATATACTATTTCATGAATGAAATCAGCCACGTTTTATTATAACTGCATTTCCCTCACTGATCCACCGTAGCTTCAGATTCGTTGGCCAGATAATATGCATGTTGCCTAGGATCATGTCGCGTCGTTATAATAATTATAAATGTCTATACAGGGTGTCCGTTTTTCCAGAATTGGGATATAGGAAACGGTAATAGATATAGGTAAATTCGGTTAAATTGGGGCAAAGTTGTGCTATTTGTGGTTTAATAAAACGCCACTTCGTAATTTGAAATATTCCGAATACGCTAATCGTCATTAGCGTTTTGTAGATTAATTACAGTCCAGTTGGAAGAGGAAATCCTAATTTTGTCAACATTGTTATTTTCACGGATAAGTGCAATTCACTAATATGGGAATGTTCAGTCGCCATAATTAACATATTTGGTGCGTTGAAAATCCACGATGACAGAATGACGACCACAAATACGTTTTCAGTGTGGGTGGGATTATTGGGGATACAGTACTTGGACCTTACATTTGGGAGGAGAATTTAAATGTCAGAGAATACTTACATTTATTGAAAACTTTTGTTACTAACTATGTGGACGCTGGACGAGAATTCCATAAATGACATCTGGTACCGAAAAGGCGGCGCACTGCAACATAACAGTAGAGAAGTAGCTGAGCATCTTCCAGAAATCTTTCCTGGCATAGTCATTTCTAACAATGGAGACTAGATTGCCTGATCTCTCTCCGTCTGACTATTTTTTATATGGAACTATGAAAAACGTTGTTCACAAACCTCAGCGTCCTCACCCGCCGACGTCAATGATGAGATACGACAGAAAATAACACTAGTTTTAGTTTATGGACAAAAATAAGAAGGAGGAATATTAAGCGAACCATACTTAATTTGAGAAAGCGGGTACGATTCTGTTTACAATTAGAAGGTGAAACTTCTATGCATCTATTATAATAATTTTAATGTAAAAAAAAACATTTGTTTTTCACGTTTTTTGTTACACAAATAAATAAAATTAGCTGGTTATTTAATTTTATTTCAACACCTTCTCTGTAGTAAAATTACTAACAAAAATCCGCCTTTATCCAGAATATTGATTTTAAGTAGAAGCTTGAAACTTTAATTCAAATCATCGGGTTTGAAGTAATATTTAATCTCAATTTGGATTTGCATCGAGAGGGATTTAGGTAGCATGTGAAAGATAGAAGGCTGAAATTTTGTATTTTAAATCCGATATTTCTCCAGAAAATAATAATTTATCGATTATCGATGGAAATAAAACGAGTGAGACGGTAATGATTTTAGGAAATAATAAGGCTTCAAAACTTGAAGTAAATGATCCAAGTTTGCATTTGAAAAAAAAAGTCGCGTGCAGCACAGTACACGAGATAGAAGTGAATACTTATTTATCGATCTCTTTCTCTCTCTCTCTCCCTCATATTCATCATATGCTTCATCTCACTTGCGAGACGAAAATTTCATAAATCGTGTCGTGACGCGAACTTGAAAAATCACTCTCATGCGGCCAAAGAAGTATTCACTTCAAAAAACCCAGCAGATTGTCCGACACTGTTGCAAGTTGAAGCATGGCCTTGCATTTTTTCAACATCGTCAAAGCCCATCCATCCACTGCAATATCTTGATTGTGTGGGTATCAGCCAAGTTTTCCGGCGTCCCATTTGTGTAGAATAAATACAGTCCACCATTGGGGCCCATATAGTAGCTTCAAGCTAAAGGGCCAAGTAACGAAACTGAATTCTGCCTGAAAATAATTAACAATTTTATATAGTTATTCAATTAAATACAAGTTAATTTACCTGTTGTTTATAGCTGACACCTCGATTTTGTAAAATCATCGGAATAGCCGAGCTCAAACCCAAAGGAATCCCTTGTAGAGTGTACAGGAAAAGCAACAGGAAAATATTCCAGCTGTCCTCTTTGGTGTCGCTTTTTAAATGTAAAGTGGAGCTCGCCTGACCCTTTTCTAGTAGCAAGGCCGTGTCCGAACGGTATTTTTGCTTTTTCCGTTCCATATTTAGGCCCCAAAGTTTAATTTTAAGGTTAGTTTATGTAGGGGCCACGTCAGTAAATGTTTACGGGGCTGATTGAATGGACCGACACTCGAAAATGGAACCTTGAGGATTGTAGTTCCGATTTGGATTGTTTTGGATTGTGTTCGATTGTAGTTCATTTGTAATTATAGGTTTTTTTTTGACAAAAAATTGAAATTTTGCTGTATTTTGTTTACATTTGTTCAAATTGACACACTGACTGACAATTAGTTGATATCTGTGCCCTATTCATTTAACAACTCTAATTTTTTTTGTCTCTTTTTAATTGTGTAGAATAGAAAGAGACAAAAATACATTTGTTTTGTCTTATTTGGCTCATAACAAACATTGGCCGCGTTCACCAGATACAAACGTTGGTAAACGGTTTGCGATTGTTCTGCTGAACGCTATGTTGAATTTGTGTTAAAACCAAACATGTTTTGCAAACGGTCGCCATTTTTGCAAGCATAATTTCAGAGTGTTTATAATTTTCAATACTGTGTTTTGTGTGGTGACCTGTCATTTAGAAGGTGACGTTCTATCATTGAAAAGTTGAATCGTTCAGCAGAACCAAGAGTTTACCCAACATTCTGTTGGTATTTGTGAACTGTTTACAATCTGTTTTGGTTCTGGTGAACGTAGCCATTAATACGTTAAGACTAATACTCTCTTTCATTCACCATCTCTTTCTCTCTCTCTCTTCTTCATATTTATCATATGCTTCATCTCACTTGCGAGACGAAAATTTTATAAATCGTGTCGTGACGCGACCTTGAAAAATCACTCTCATGCGGTCAAAGAAGTATTCACTTCAAAAAAAGATAATTTTTGTCGGTTAAAGAAGCAATCCGACTTCGTGTAGAGGGGAAAAAGTTGCCTTGATGAAGTGAAGTTTCTCGGAAAAGAAAACGCTTTTGGATTATTTTGTTTTTTTTTTCCCGGAAGTATTCGGAATATTCCAAATTTCCATGTAGTGCTTTTTCAAGCAACAAATTGCGCAACGCATAAAGACAAAACATATCTTTTAAATATATAAAAAATATCCTTTATAGAATATAGGATATTTTTTAAACATCTAAATATCGGAACAAAATATTCTTAGTTCCTTTTGTGAATATTTTATAGGTTCAAAATCGATATTTTTTAAATGTTAGCAAGATATTCTGCAAAATATTTTAGGAACATTTTTGAAAATTTTAGAAATATCTTTTGAACTTCACCACTTCATAGAATACATATTTTTAAAACATTTTTGAAACATCTTCAAGATGTTTTGCAATATTTTTAAGGTTATTAAAACGACATTTTCATAATATTTTATTATACAGTGTCCGCGGAAAAGTCTGCACCATATGGCAAATTTTTTTATGCTCATCCTTACTTCAAATCGGCTTCTGGCATTAGTTCTGCATGACTGAAAACCAAAAAAACGCCTAAAACTTTTGACTCGAGACTTGCCTCACACCTGTCAAATGCCATTTGAAAATTTAAAACAAGGAAAAGTGGCATTTTTATAAAAAATATGAAAAAAAATTATGAGAAAATATTGTTCCAAATGATATTTAGAGTCTAATTTGATATTTTTGCTTTGAAAAAAATATATTTCAAAGCATACAATTTTTAAAATAGTCCAGAGGCGTATCAAGATTTTAATACAAATATTTCTTTTTGATGTTTAAACTCTTAATTAGATTATTAGGATTTGAAAAACCATTAGTCAGATACAAACTAATTATTTTAGAGGAATGGCCGCGAAAGAAATCCTGAAAATATTATTTTTCCGTAGATATTCGAAAAAAATTTAAAAAAATAAATATTTTTTTTTTCAAAGCAAAAATATCAAATTAGACTCTAAATGTCATTTGGAACAATATTTTCTTATAAATTTTTTTCATATTTTTCATAAAAATGCCACTTTTCCTTGTTTGAAATTTTCAAATGGCATTTGACAGGTGTGAGGCAAGTCTCGAGTCAAAAATTTTAGGTGTTTTTTTTGGTTTTCAGTCATGCAGAACCTAATGCCAAAAACCGATTTGAAGTAAGGATGAGCATAAAAAAAATTCCCATATAGTGCAGACTTTTCCGCGGGCACTGTATATTATATAAGTAATATTAAATATATTATTTTATTATACTATACATATATATTATATTTTATTATACATTTATTAATATTATATTAGCCCTGTCATTATATTGAAATTACCTACATACTTTTTTGTTCGTTCTTTGGCCCTTAGAAGAAATCCTTTGATATATTTTATCATTTCGTCGTCTTGAGCTAATTCTGTCCTTTGATTCCCACGTAAAAGGGTTATGTTGATTGTAAGCGTCCTTCTGGAAAATATTAGGCAATCCAAATCACGTGACACTCGACGGCCACACATGGGCCAAAAAACACAAAAAAAATATCTAGTTTCTGCCAGATTTAATAGTTTAGGTATTTAGTTAACAAAAATTTTATTAAATAATCAAAATCAAAGATGCAAGCAAAACTCTAAGCGAAATCTGACTATAAAATCGAGATGTTAGTTCAAGGTTGTCACCGCTTTAATTATGCAAATAAGGCAATCGGAATATAAAATCGATATGTTTATGTTAGTTCAAGGTTGTTACCGCTTTTGCATACATTAAGTGCCAACTCATAGATAGGCAATTACTTATACATAATTGAAGTCGGGTAAGTGTTTGGAAGAAGTCCGGAGAGGTCAGGAAAGGGCTGGATAAGGTCGGGAGAAATCTAGACAAGTCTGGATAAAGTCTGGATAAGGCTGGATAAAGTCTAGCTAAGTCTGGAAAAGTTTGGATAAGTTTGGATAAGTTTGGATAAGTTTGGATAAAGTCTGGAAAAGCCAGAAAATTTCTGGAAACGTCTGGAAAAGGCTCTATTAGGTCTGGAGAAATCTAGACAAGTCTGGATAAAGTCTGGAAAAATCTACCCAAGTCTGGAAAAGTCTGGATAAAGTCTGGAAAAGCCTGGAAATTTCTGGAAACGTCGGAAAAAGGCTGGATAAGGTCTGGAGAAATTCAGACAAGTCTGGATAAGGTCTGGAAAAGTGTATTTGAAGTCGGGAAAGTGTTTGGGAGAAGTCCGGAGAGGTCAAAGGGCTGGATAAGGGCTGGAGAAATCTAGATAAGTCTGGATAAAGTCTGGATAAAGTCTGGATAAAGTCTAGCTAAGTCTGGAAAAGTCTGGATAAGTTTGGATAAAGTCTGGAAAAGAGCCAGAAAATTTCTGGAAACGTCTTGAAAAGGCTCTATTAGGTCTGGAGAAATCGAGGCAAGTCTGGATAAAGTCTGGAAAAATCTAGCTAAGCTTAGAAAAATCTGGATAAAGTCTGGAAAAGCCTGGAAATTTCTGGAAACGTCTGGAAAAGGCTTAATAAGGTCTAGAGACATTCAGACAAGTTTGGATAAAGTCTGGAAAAGAGCCAGAAAATGTCTGGAAACGTCTGGAAAAGGCTCTATTAGGTCTGGAGAAATCTAGACAAGTCTGGATAAAGTCTGGAAAAATCTAGCGAAGTCTAGAAAAGTCTGGATAAAGTCTGGAAAAGCCTGGAAATTTCTGATAACGTCTGGAAAAGGCTTGATAAGGTCTGGAAAAATTCAGACAAGTCTGGATAAAGTCTGGAAAAGTGTATTTGAAGTCGGGAAAGTGTTTGGGAGAAGTCCGGAGAGGTCAGAAAAGGGCTGGATAAGGTCTGGAGAAATCTAGACAAGTCTGGGTAAAGTCTAGCTAAATCTGGAAAAGTCTGGATAAGTTTGGATACAGTCTGGAAAAGCCAGAAAATTTCTAGAAACGTCTGGAAAAGGCTCTATTAGGTCTGGAGAAATCTAGACAAGTCTGGATAAAGTCTGGAAAAATCCAGCCAAGTCTAGAAAAGTCTGGATAAAGTCTGGGAAAGTCTGGAAATGTCGGGAAACCTCTGGAAAAGGCTTGATAAGGTCTGGAGAAATTTTGACAAGTCTGCATAAAGTCTAGCTAAGTCTGGAAAAATCTGGATAAAGTCTGGAAATTTCTGGAAACGTCTGGAAACGCATGGAAATTTCTGGATTGGCTCGGAAAAATTCTGGAAAATCTGGAAAGGGTTGAATTTTAGCGGATCTCAAAGCTCACAATAATCACAAGCATTAGCGTTGAAGTTTGCTTCGGCATTTTCAATGTTCTCCTCGGTTGCATCTTTGTGAAGGACTCTGAATTTTTTACTTATGTGACAATTCTCTGACAATATGCCTATTAGCTGGGCTATTAGATATTGCTCTGTAGATGGTTGTTTTTCAAAGCAAGGAAGTGGTTTAATATTTTTTCGAGGTCCAATAGAAGAATCTAGGTATGTATAGGGTTTTCCAATAGTAACGCTCGATGTTTGACAATAGCCCATGAAAAACTCGATAGGCACACAGGTGCTATCTTTGGCAGCCGTATTCAATTAGTCTCTGCATTTTATTATGGAGCGCTACACGATTGAGCAACGCGTCGGAATTGTTAAAAATTATTATCATTATCAAAACCAATGTTCTATTCGGAAAACGTTTCGTGCACTCCGTGCAATTTATGATGTCAACGATCGTCCTTCAGAATCCACAATTGGCCGACCTAACGTCACTGGATTTTTTTCTCTAGGCATTCTAAAATCCAAAGTCTATGTTGACAAATCTCGAACGGTTGCCGCCTTAAAGGCCAATATTAAGCACTTATTGCTGAAATTGAGCCATTTTGATGCGATAACGAACACTAAATGATTCTAACGACAATCTAAAATTGCCGGAGAAATGTATTGATAATTCGGATATTGTTGAAAACATCTATGAGAAGTGAAGTCCGTCGATTTTAATCTAATACTCGAAAGAAATGTGAGCTGGTGGCACCCTACATTTGAACGCCAATGGTCACCTAACGTCACCCCTGGTTTTCGCTTCACCCCCTCGCTCCTCATTCGAAAAGTCGACGAACAATACTAAAAGAAGGAAGATTCAGGGACTTGACCAAATCTGCAATACTTTCTGCAAGAAATGTTGATGTCGAAGAAATAAACGAATAAGTTGTCGAACTGTTGGACGTCAAGACCGAAAAACTCTACACCAGTATAGATAGTGTCAAGAACTGTGATAATAGTGATCTAAATGATGCTATTCTTCCAAAATATTTAAATTGGCTTAATCCGCCGAATTCCCGCTCCATGAATTACGATTGAAAACGAATTCTATTGTATGCTTATTAGAAATCTAA